CCCCCACCCCCAGCATATTAAATATTGTCTTGGTCTTCAGCATCTTTAGTAATTCGGATTGAGCTTTGATTCAAATATTGAACGTATGGATTCAGAATGGTGGACCAAATTCTCACCACTGCGCCACCAGGAAGGAGGGGGAGAAAGGGAAGAAGAGGGAGGAGGGAAGAGCAGTAGCACTTATATACCACTTTACAGTGCTTTCCAGCCCTCTCTAAGTTGTTTATAGAGCCAGCCTCTTGCCCCCAACAATCTGGGTCCTCATTTTACCCACCTCGGAAGGACGAGTCAACCTTAAACCGTTCAGAATCAGACTGATGGCAGTCGGCAGAGTCAGCCTGCTATACTTCGATCTAACCGCTGAGCCACCAAGGCTCTAATCTCTTATATCTCGTGTGTGTGTGTGTGTGTGTGTGTGTGTGTGTGTGTGTGTGTGTGTGTGCATCAGAAATACTCACAACAGTCTTCTCACAATTGTCCCTAGCTGCCTTGTGGAGGGAGATGTGAAAGAGGAAATTTTGCAGGCCCCAGAGCCCCATCCGGTGCCCCCCATTCTAACCCCATCGCCTCCTTCGGCCTACCCGACCGTGACGACGGTGTGGCAAGACAGCGACCGATACCACCCCAAGCCTGTTTTGCACATGGTGTCTTCAGAGCACCCCACAGACCTCAACGAAAACTACGGTAAATCCAGGGAATATTCAGGGAAGCACGAATCCTCGGACCCCGCCGATAAAAAGCTGGAGCACAACTTGAGCTTCGAAATTAAGAAAGTGCCCCTGCAGGAAGGACCGCGCAGCTTTGACGGGAACCCTCTCCTGAGTCGGGGAAACGCACTTAAAATTAAAACAGGCCCGCCGGGTGCAGCGGAGATGGCCTCGAAACCGCAGGAGCGCGGCTCCGGAGATGCACCGATGGAGACCACCCAGAACTCTTGCAGCGAATGCAATCTGCAGCTGGTCACTCCAGTGGCAATATCCTCTCGGGAAGGACATCGGGGTCTTACTACAGATGCCCGGGAAAGGCCAGACTGCTTGCCCCTTAATAAAGAGAAGGGACACGCCATGTGGTCCTTAGAAGAGACTAAAAACGAGCATCCCTTCTCCGAGGAGGAGGAGGCGCCTTTACCCGTTTTATGTCACGAAGTTAAAAATCTGTCCGTGGACTCGGAATCGCCAGGTCAAATGGACACCCCTCCCAGGGAGCTGGCAGGCCACTGCCACAGTGACACGCTGCCGGTTAGAGCGCCTCTGTGTTTCACCAACCCCCTGCACTCGGACGACTCTGACGCGGAGGAAAGAAACTCTGAGGGGGACGTGGCACGTAGCACGTTGAATAGCGTCTCCGTGGCAAGCGCCACGGTTTCCGCAGCGACTAACACAGAAAACATTTCCGCTAGAAAAGTGTTGCCGATGTCCATCGCGAGGCAGGATAATCTAGCCCTAATGCATTCCGAATCTGATAAAGGTAAGTTGTGCTAAATTTTATTCATGTGAATTAAGGAAAAGGGGGGGGGGGTGTCCTTGAAGCTCTCTGAGCTTGGGTGTTTTCTTGCAGATGTTTCATTACCCAACTAGGTAACATCATCAGTGGTAGAAGGGAGGCAGATTTGCAGAGAGGAGGAGGATTGTGGGGTCCTTGGTGCTCTCTGAGCTTGGTGGTTTTCTTGCAGACGTTTCATTACCCAACTAGGTAGCAATATCAGTGCTAGAAGGGAGTGGAGTTTTCTTTCTTTTTATACTACTGGCTTGCTCTTTCTGTGTCGCTGGAAGTATTCTTGGTGGTTCCTTGATTAGGCTGTTTACTCTTCGTTTGAATTGGTAGTTCCTTGATTGGGCTATTGTTTACTTCTTGATTATTGGCGTAGTGTTAATTTTGGTCTTTTGCTCTGTTTTATTTCCTTTTTGGCTTTTTGAGACAAATCAGCCATCAAAACAAAACAACAAAATTAAATGCCATCTTCAGTGTACGTTATAACTATAAAAATAACACAACAAACACACATCCTTCACATTCTATACAATTGAATTGAAAACCCCTGATGCTGCTGCACCATAGAGAGTATTTTAACTTACTGCATTTGTGTATGGTTTGCCAATTGCACAGTGGCAGATAGGAGAGCGCTCCAGAGGGTCAACGTCATTGCCCGGAGGGGGTTCCACCACAAAACTGCGTTCGACTAAAGGGCGCTCGACGAAACCATGTAGCTGACATCATCACAGCGCGACAACAGCGTGGAGAAAAAAGCACTCTGTAAACGCTAAACCTAAAATTAACCCCTAAACCTAAACCTAACCCTTAACCTAACCCTAAACCTAACCCTAAACCTAACCCTTAACGCTAAACCTAATCCTAACCCTTAACCTAACCCTAAACCTAACCCTAAACCTAACCCTTAACGCTAAACCTAATCCTAACCCTTAACCTAACCCTAAACCTAACCCTAAACCTAACCCTTAACGCTAAACCTAATCCTAACCCTTAAC